ACATACACCAAATACGAAATAATTCAATTCTAGTAGAAAAAGGAGAAGAAATAATAGACATGTACAATACTTCCCGAAAAGAAAATTAAAATTAATTATATCTTCATTTTTTTAGTACACTTATTTATAGCTTCAAATTTCAATACATATATATATATATATATATATATATATATATATATATATATATATATTATATTAATATATATACTGTATAATAAAGTGATAAATTAAAAGCTACACCTAATAAACAGCTGTTAGTCTTAAAAAGCAAAATGATATAGCTTCAAGCTTCTACAAAGTGCAGAAGGATATAATACATTTCTTAAATAATAAGTAATCGGAGCTTAATTAAAAAAATATTTCAAAATAAGTGAAAATGTACGAAAGATAAACGGGATATGTTAGAAAGATAAATAATTTGTTGTGAGAAGTACTACAAGTGTTGTAGTGAGAAGAAGAGCTGATATTGAATATGTCATTAGTTTCTCATGCCCTAAAGTTTAGTCATTTGTTCCATTATCGATCTTTTCTGTATCAATTAAACGCCCAAAAACGAAAAAGATTTAAAATTGTATACTGTTATTCATTAAATTTTTGGTCAATTTATTCTTCGTTGTTAGCAAATCATCTTGTATTTGCTCTTTCTATTAACGGTTCCAACGCGAAATAGCCGGACTTCACATATCCATATTCTTTATAAGAAAGGCCCAAAATTACCTCTAATTTCTTACTATAATTTAAAATTACCCTCTCGTTAAAAGGAAAACGAAGCGTTATTAGCAAAAAAAAAAAAAAAAAAAAAAAAAAAAAAAAAAGATTAAATTGATCTCTTATCAGATAGGTAAAAGTATTATAATCCAAATAATTGTGAATAGACAAGATAGGGAAGAAGGTAGCTGGTCCAAATTGGCAACTTTAGCTTTTCTTGTTCATTTTTCTCTCACGTTCTTTTGTTCTCCACCGGCTTAATATTATTTTAAAATGACAAAGACAGGAATATAGAGTATTAGATAATATTCCAAATAAGTAAAATAAAAAATAATATTAAAGAAGCTGGAGCCTTGAACTTGGCAGCAACTGGTTGGTTTTGGGAAATAACAAGGCAGAAAATATAGCCATTAATTATTCTCCAAGTGGAATGAGATCAGAGCTCCTTAATATAGAAATTATATTAGTGGCATTGTATAAAGCTAATTAAAGATAAATTAAGCTTTTAATAACAATCACTGGAAATCCAGCAGGTTGGCTGCGCGTCTTCAATTTCTTAAGTCTATTTCACTTCACCACATCTTTTTTAATCAATACTTCAATCAATAATTCCTTTTTCAAACATGCTTTAAAATATTTTTCTTTAGCAGAAGGTTTATCAAAAATAATTTCTCTATCTCCACAAGATAAGGATAAGGTCTACGTATACGCTACCTTTCCCAAATCTTTACCTTTGAAAATATACTGAATATATTGTTGTACTTCTATTTGTTCCAAAAGATTTGAGTTCTCAATGTCCGGAACCTTTATTAAGATACCGATTAATTAGAATTCGCACCACGTAAGATCTGTTTAAAAGGAAAAGTGCTTCTGACCAAAAAAAATTTCATTCTCAATGCTCAAAACGGAGACCTCTAATTAAAAATATAGAGATTCCATTCATCCACCTCAACCTTTGATAGTCAAAAGATCTTGCTCTACTCTCCCCTTTGAAAAGAGGGTAAAAAGAAAAAGGCAAGGTGTTCAAAGTATGAAAATCATACACTTTTCATAATTACAAATTAAATACTTGAATAATCAAATTAGAAGTAGTATTATAAAATACAGTAACATAATATTGATAAAATGTGCTAAATATGTTTAAAAGTTATAGTTACTCCCTCCATTTCAATTTATATGAAAAACTTTCCTAACTAGTCCGTTTTAAAATAGTGATATATTTTTATATTTGAAAATAATTTAACTTTAAAATTTTGATTTGACCTATTTTATCCTCAATGAGAAGCTTTTATAGCCATACAATATTATGGTCTCACAAGGTTTTTCAAAAGTGTGGGAGAGGGTGGTTGAAGCAAGGGTGAGGAAGGCAGTGTCTATATCCGACAATCAGTTTGGATTCATGCCGGGTCGTTCTACTACAAAAGCTATACACCTTGTTCGGAGGTTGGTGGAAATGTATAGAGAGAGGAAGAATGATCTGCACATGGTGTTTATTGACCTGGAGAAAGCATATAACAAGGTTCCTAGAGAAGTTCTCTGGAGATGCTTGGAGGCAAATGGTGTGTCGGTACCGTACATTATGGCAATCAAGGACATGTATGATGGGGCTAAGACTCGGGTTAGGACAGTAGGAGGAGACACTGAACATTTTCTGGTTGTAATGGGGTTACACCAAGGTTCTGCACTCAGTCCGTTCTTATTCGCCTTGGTGATGGACACGTTAACGCACCATATTCAAGGGGAGGTGCCATGGTGCATGTTATTCGCCGATGACATAGTTCTGGTTGATGAGTCGCGAGCCGGTCTTAACGAGAGGCTAGAGGTTTGGTGACAAGCTCTTGAGTCTAAGGGTTTCAAGCTGAGCAGGACGAAGACGGAATACCTGGAGTGTAAGTTCAGCGCTGAGCTGGGGGAAGTGGGCGTGGATGTAAGGCTTGAATCACAGGTCATTCCAAGTAGAGGAAGCTTCAAGTACCTTGGGTCGATTATCCAGGGGGGATGGGAGAACGACGAGGATGTCACGCATCGTATTGGGGTAGGATGGATGAAGTGGAGGTTAGCATCTGGAGTCTTGTGTGACAAGAGAGTGCCACCGATTCTTAAAGGTAAGTTCTATAAAGCGGTGGCTAGACCGGCAATGATGTATGGGGCTGAGTGTTGGTCTGTTAAGAACTCACATACCCAGAAGATGAGAGTAGCAGAAATGAGGATGCTGAGGTGGATGTGCAGGCACACTAGGATGGATAAGATTAGGAATGATGATATTCGGGAGAAGGTGCAAGTGCTCCCATTGATGACAAGATGCGGGAAGCGAGGCTCAGATGGTTCGGGCATGTTCAGAGGAGAAGTCCAGATGCTTCGGTAAAGAGGTGCGAGCGGCTAGTTGTGGAGGGAACGAGAAGAGATAGAGGGCGGCCTAAGAAGTATTGGGGAGAGGTGGTCAGACATGATATGGCTAGGCTTCAAATTTCCGAGGACATGACACTTAATAGGAAGTTGTGGAGGTCGAGTATTAAGGTTGTAGGTTAGGAGGTAGTTGAGTCTTGCCTTACTTATACCTTTGCGAGACTAGTCTGGTAGGGTTTTTACCTAAGATAGTTAGTGCCATTGTTGTGTCTTACTAATTTAGTGCATGATGTATTTAATAGCTATCGCTTTACTTTGCATCTTTCTTCTAGATTTCATGTACATATTTTTTCTTATTATTTCTGTGGTGATACTAATATTCTCTGCTTGTCCTTTTGTTCCCTTGAGCCGAGGGTCTTTCGGAAACAGCCTCTCTACCCCTTCGGGGTAGGGGAAAGGTCTGTGTACACACTAACCTCCTCAGACCCCATTAGTGGGATTTCACTGGGTTGTTGTTGAAGGCTTTTCAAAAGTCTTTTTTTTATATATATATATTTTGTGCCGAGTCAAAGTGTGTCATATAAAATGGAGGGAATAAAAAAGTTTATTTCCTTAAATAGTACATAACAACGAAAGACATAATGCTATTCTCATAATTCATGAATGAATGATGTATTTGTTTAGATAAAATCAAGTGTGTAAATAAACTACTTCAAGCCCGGTTACTGCTTTAAGAGATTGTAACTGAAATTGGAGGTTTGTATGTTAGATAATATGCTTGAAATAGGTATTTTTAAAATTGAAAGTGCACCAAATTGGCTTTAAAATTAGAGTAATCTGGTATACTACTAGCTTTCATGATTTAACGTTTACTAGACATACTAACTGATTGTCAACCAACCAATTAATCTATATAACAATTAATTAATCTTTAGAGACTTTTCTAATTTAGAGTAATAGAAAATCTATTTTCAATAAATGAAGGATCATGCAACTACGTACAATTAACTTCATAGGGATTAAAATGAAGGTTTCAAATTGGAAAAATGATATTGTATAGCCGCTGTAAAAATAATAACCGAAAAATTGTATAAAAATTATATATTATTTGTATATATATATATATATATACATTTTGTATGTTATTTATAAATTTTATACACTTCTTCGGCTACCAGATGTAAATAGTTTCTGGCGCGGGCTAAATGTGATAATACCCCGTTCAAATTCTCCATTACAAACTTGTTTTTAGCTTTATGACCCTATCTTATCTTTTTTTTTTTTTTTACACATTAGAGATTTATCTTTTACACATTTTTTAGTTTCAACATTGTAAAAACCGATGAAGGCCTATTTCCTTCTTTCCCACCCTCACCACCCCGTCCCCTGGACCTCCAACCTCACCCCGACCACCACCAACTCACACTCCCGACCATCCTCCAACCCCTCCCCTCCCCCCCCTCCTCCCCTGAAAAACTCTCCTTCCTCAACCAACCCCTCGTTCTCGACGCATCGCCTACTCCTCTCTGGACCCCTTACCCTGCCCCGTCCCAACCTCTATCGCCCTCACTCCCTTCCCCCTTTCACCATTTCGTCTCCCATAATAATTGTTTAGAATATTTATTTTTAAAAAAAGTATTTTTTTCTAACTAACCAAACACTAAAAAATAAGTAAGAAAACGACTTATTACCAAAAAAATATATTACGTAAAAATATATACCCTGGTACCAAACACATCCTAAGTGAAAATAAGGTTTTCTTCACACACGCGCGCTATGCCAAGCGTGGCCCAAATAAATCCAAATAAACAGCTTAAAGCAGTCCTTTTTACTCCTTTTCACTTATAGTAAGTACTGTCTTTAACAACAGTAATTAACAAAATTAGGAGTAGAAAACTAGAAACACCTCTTACTATTTATTCTGCTAAACGCGTTAATCTCTATTGTCTCTTTCTCTGTCCGACAATTACCAGATTATTACAGAAGAACCTTCAAACACCCACTGTCGGTACACACGCAAAAGAGAAACAACCAAGAACAATAAACCCCTTCAATCTCCCTTATTAGATCTACACAAAAAACCATTTTTTGTGCAGATCCAAAAATCTTTTCTTTTTTGCTCACACGAAAAAAAAAACCAAGAAAAAAATGGATTCTTCAGAGCAACGTCGTAAGAGAAAAAGGATTTTCAGACCATCTTCACCAACAGTTTTTCTTCCTTATTCTCTTAAATATTTCTTCTCTGTAAGGTCTTTAGTTTTATGCTTTAGTTTCTTGATTTTTATTTTTCTTCTTTCTTATCAGATTCCTTTTGGTTCTTCTGTTTTTAGACCTGTTTTAGTTGTTTCAAGCTTATCTTTATTGTCTTCTTCTTCTGACTTATCTTCTAGTTCTGCTTCATTTCAAGATTTTGGTAGTTTCTTATTGCCTTTACAAATTGAGGGTCGAGTTTTGTTTCCTGATCATGTTTTGCTGTTGATAAAAAAGAATACTTTACTTGGTAAAAATACAGAATTGGAGTGTGTTTATGCTAGAAATACAAGTGATATTGTTGTAAAGGAGAAAGCTTTTTCAATGGATGATTATGGTGATGAAAATGGGATGATTGTTAGATGTCCACTTCCTCCAGCTAATTATTCAGCTGTAGTGAATTTGATGAAGTTTAAGGGAAATGGTGTTGTGGATATGGAAGCTGAAAATGGGATATGGAAAAGTAATCAGACAGATAATTCTTGGGAAAATGTTGCTTATGCTGCTATGTTGGATGGTAATACAGCAGTGGTGTTTGTGAAGGGATTGAATTTGAGGCCTCAAAGAGAATCCGATCCGAGTCAATTTAGTTGTCATTTCGGGTTGGGAAGTTTGGAAAAAGATGGAAGGTTTGCACTTAGGACAAATGCTATTAGTGCTGCTCAAGAGGTTGTTAGGTGTTCATTGCCATTGAGTATTAGGAAGAGCCCCGAGAAGGCTCGTGGTATACGAATAACGATTGGTATGTTGCCTCATATTCATGCTAAAGCTCATGAACATGTACTTTTGCCCTCAGTAGCCAAGATTTCTGACCTGAAATCTGAGGGAATTAGGAAGAATATTGGAAATGTAAAGTATGATCTTTGTGTGTGTACAATGGTGTGGAACCAAGCCTCAGCGCTTCGCGAATGGATCACGTATCATTCTTGGCTTGGAGTTGAAAGGTGGTTTATTTATGACAATAATAGTGATGACACAATCAAAGATGTGATTGAAGATCTTGAGACAGAGAATTACAACGTCACACGACACGTTTGGCCGTGGATCAAGACTCAAGAAGCAGGTTTTTCGCATTGTGCTCTTAGAGCAAAGCAAGAATGCAATTGGGTATCGTTTATGGATGTGGATGAATATTTCTACTTTCCATATTCTACACCGGGACACCAAAGTTTTAGAAGCATGGGTTATGCAGGAAAGGACTCACTTCGATCCCTCGTGGCAAATTTATCATCATCATCACCAACAATAGCAGAGATCAGAACAACTTGCCATAGCTTTGGACCATCTGGTTTGAATTCAGCACCCTCACAAGGTATCACTGTTGGATATACATGTCGGCTTAAGAGTCCCGAGAGACACAAATCAATCATACGCCCTGACGCTTTGGACACCACTCTCCTCAATGTGGTGCATCATTTCTACTTGAGGAAAGGATTTAGGTACTTGAATTTGCCACAAAGCACTGCAGTGATAAACCATTATAAATACCAAGTGTGGGAAGTTTTCAGGGCGAAGTTTTTCAGGCGAGTGGCTACGTATGTTGCTGATTGGCAGAAGAATCAAAATGAAGGATCAAGGGATAGAGCACCTGGTTTAGGGACTGAGGCTATTGAGCCACCAAATTGGCCATTACAATTCTGTGAAGTTTGGGATACCGGCCTTCGGGACTTTGTTTTGTCAAACTTTGCTGATCTAATAACTGGTTTGTTGCCTTGGGAGAAGTCTTCATTCTAATCACTGAATTCCATTGTTATCCCTTGGCTTATCCAAGTAACGTATATCCATTCCTCCTTCGATGACTGCCAGTAGAGAAAGCTAGGGAGCTCGAGGGGCGGATGCCCTATATGTAAAAAAGATGATCACCAAAAAATTCAATTCTTTCTTCATTCCAGGGCTATTGTATCTGATTTCCTTTAGCTTTTGTAGACAGGAGATATTTAAACAATAGATTAGAATAGGAAATTTTTCTTTCCTTTGTTGAATATATCTGTAATTTTTCTACAGTGTAACATTGATATTTTCATTAAATCAATTCTTTTATCATTATTCTAAGCATTGAACATTTCCTTTTTCTACTGTCCAGAGATATGCGCTGTTTCTGCGCGCGCACACGCGCACACACACAAGAATAGCATGTTTTTGACTGAGTTATAACTAAAAGAAAAGATGCCTTATGAGATAAGAGAACCATCAACATAATTTCAGTCATTGGAGAAAGATGATATTTAACAGCTATAATAAAAGAAGAAGTAATGAACTGCATAACAGCTTCTTCTGCCCCAATTTAAGAGAATAGGGAAGAAGCAATGACTGAATAACAGCTATAATAAAAGAAGCAAGGCCACATCGTTGCAAATTAGACTCAGGAAACTGTCTAAAACCAGACATTGGCCAACTTGCGCTTCTCCTTTCATCCTTTGCATTAATGGCCATAGGAGCTGGTGGAATTAGGCCATGTTCATTAGCCTTTGGTGCTGATCAAGTTGACAATCCTGACAATCCCAATAATGGACGAATCTTGCAAAGTTTCTTCAATTGGTATTTATCACGTTAAAATATTGATGTACTTGTTTTACTTCTTCTGCCCCAATTTATGCGATGCAGTTCATTACCATGAGTTTTTAAATATGTAATCCCTAGCGTAACTAGTAAAATTATTGTCATGTGACCAGGACGTCACGGTTTCGAGCCGTGAAAACTAGGGTTGTCAAAGGGTAGGGTAATACCTGTACCAGTACCGGACCGTACTAGTACCCGAATCANACCAATTCTTTGTCATAAATCATGCTGATTTCTACTTCTTGTGCATAGTAATTGAATATTTTATGATTAAAAGAATAACATTGTTTAGACATAGAATGCCTAATATTAGGTTGTTACTTAACATGAATAACTAGATTTCTTGTTGGCGATGCCACCAAAGAACCTCTTGTCCCCTCACACAAGAACTTTAGCATAAGAAAAGGTGACAAATGTATTCAAAGTGGAACAAAGATGATTAAGGACTAATAATGCTATTGTTGGGTAACGCCAACGTCCTGCCTATGGCAAGCTCACGAGGGGGTTAGGGTAGACTAGGTCAAGTCATGGTCGAACATGGCGCTTGTTTGGTGGACTTGGTTAAGAAATAAAATTACGCCCTTACTATCAGCTATAGCTTTTGGCATAATAGTAAGCACTTGATCCTAACAGCCAATAACGCTATAATGAAACAGATAAAAATCTTTATATCATGCTCTCCTCTCTTACTGATGATTGAAAAATAATTTGTTAGTAGTTTGTTTGAATATTGAATGAACAAGCATATTGATAAGCATTTTTTGGTCATATTCCATAGGTTTCTAAATAAGGCGTGCATCATTAGAAACCCTGAGAAAGATTTGAATCCAAATGGAATAGTTTCAGATCAATGGAATCTTTGTACAGTTCAACAAGTAGAAGAATTCAAAGCATTGATCAAAGTAATCCCAATGTGGTCTACAGGAATTATGATAGCAGTAACACTAAGTCAACATGCATTTCCAGTGTTACAAGCAAATACAATGGACAGACATTTGAATAGTCACTTTGAAATTCCAGCAGCTTCTTATGGTTTATTTGGGATTATTACATTGACAATATGGATAGCCATCTATGACCGAATCCTCGTCCCCTGGATTTCAAAATTCACCAAAAAACCTCACGGATTGACTTTCAAGCAACGTATAGAGATCGGGTTGTTGTTTTCTTGTGCAGCACAAGCGGTAGCAGCATTAGTGGAAAGAGAAAGACGAGCACGAGCCCATAATGAAGGACTAGAGAGAAATCCGTTGTCACAAGTGAATATGTCAGCATTTTGGTTAGTGCCACAACATTGTTTAACTGGTCTAGCTGAGGCATTCAACGCTATTGGACAAATAGAATTTTATTATTTACAATTTCCTAAGAGCATGGCTAGTATTGGAGTGGCACTATTTGCACTAGGAATGGGATTTGGGAATGTTGTTGGAAGTCTAATAGTTGAAATTGTTGATCATGCTTCAAGTAGAGGAGGGAAAGTGAGTTGGGTATCAAATAATTTGAATTTAGGTCACTATGATTATTACTATTGGATTCTTGCTTGTTGAGTGTAGGGAATTTGTTCTACTTTATTGTTTGTGCTTGGGCTTATGGATCTGATGAAGATACAAGAATTTGGGAGGAAGGATACAGTCGTAAGAAAAAGGAAAGGAGAGTAGTTCGTACTAGTTAGTTTAAGTAACGAACTTTTAAGTTTTTTAAGGTTACGGT